GTCACCAACCTTGTCACCAGTGTCGTCACCAACCTTGTCACCAGTGTCGTCACCATCCTTGTCACCAGTGTCGTCACCAACCTTGTCACCAGTGTCGTCACTAACCTTGTCATCGTCCTCATCCCTGCTTTCAGATGATTGCAAATTTTCCTTGCTCTCACCCTCACTTGGTTTTTCTTCACTGGAGGCATGTTCATCGTTGACGTCATCGCCCTCTTCCGAGGGATCTTTCAACTGAGCAGTGTTAATCATGTGGGCACTGTCCTCTTGTTCTTGTTCTATCGAGTTGCGTGCCTCGTCTGTGCGTCCTTCATTGGGATCATTCGATGCGCTTGATTCCTTCCGCTCACTCTGTGCACTTTCGTTTGTCTCTTTATTCTCCTCCTCTTCTTCTTCCTCCTCCTCTTCCTCTGCATCTTCGTCGCTGCTGTACCTTCTCCTGTACCTACTGTCCCGTTCACTGTCCGAGCTTCCGTCCGATTCATCACTATTAACCCTTCTGGAGGAGAAACCGAAAATTCTCGAAAATCTGCTAGACACATTTTCATACAACCCGCTTCTCTTATTACTTTGCTCGTCCCCTGTGTGGGCACTTCTCCTGTCTCTGGCCCTGTTGCTCGATCCACTGCTAACACTGTCGCCAACTTTTTTGGGACACTTGTTGGCGCCCGCACTCTGAGGCGTATTCCTTGGTATACCTTGCGTCAAGAGTGGCGACGCGTCATGCTGCTCACACGTGTTAGGCTGCTGCACGTCGCTTCGATTATCCACCTGCTGGATTTTGGTGGACTCTGTCTTTATGTGCGCCCTGCTATCCTGCCCCTCCATCTTTATTCTAGTGGTTCCAAAATCATCCTTAGCATTATCCATTGTGCTCGCGTTACTGTTTGATGACATTGCATCCTTCCTAATATGATCCTCGCAGTTTTCTTCTTTGACTCTAACCACGGTGCCTGCCGAATTAACATTGCTGTTCTCTTTTGGCACTTCCTCTTTTATTAGGCAATTTTTGAGATCATCTTTTTTGTTCCTTCCCCCTGGTGTTACTTTATTGTTCTGTTTGTTGACGGCACTTGCATTTTTGTTAATCCTACATACAGGATTGTTAATTTTATCTTTCGGTTTGGCAAATTGACCCGCGGATGTGATAGCAGCATCTGCCGCTGTGCCATCTAAACCGCGTGATGCGTTCTGCCTATCTTTGTTCCCCATCACATTGTCCTGCATCTGCTGCTTCTTCTTATGTATGACGGGGAAAACCCTTTCCTCCATCGCAGCGCTATTGCACTCTTCGAAATTTTCCTTCTCCAACTGACTTCCACTTATGGACACATGATCCACATCATGGGATTCCATATCACATCCATTTTCACTGTCGCCTTCACGTGTTTCTTGATCTTCCTCCATTCCTTTCTCTTTTTCTTCTTTCACGTGTATTTTTTCTTCTGGTACCGACATGTTACCTTCCATATAAGGCCCCTTATTCGATTCCTTCTCTGTGGCAGGAATGTGGTTATTGATATGTCCCTCTACTTGGGCCTGGTCCATTTCGTCTTCTTCATCTTTGAACGTACTTACGAGATTCGTCTTGTCAACGGTTTGGAAAGGTGTAAAAAACTGTGTTTCCTTTTCTGGTTCTGTTAAATATGATTGTCCATCCGTGGGGTGGACCTCTTCGCCACTGTCGCCATCGTCATTGTTGCTGTTCTGTTCCTGGCCCAATCTACCAGCCTCGAGTGAATGATCATTTGGCTCTTCATTGCATGTGGAATTATAATCACCGTCCAATTGGGTGCTTTGTGCCTCCTCATTTTTACTATCACTGCACTTATTCCTCACATCGACCTTTTCGTGTGCGCTATTAAACATGTCAAGAACTTCGTTCAAATCGCTGGTCTCACGGGTGAGGTAATTCTTTGGTGTGTTGTTAAAATAATCTCCTTCCACATCATCTTCCACTTCCAATTCATCTTCATCTTCCGGCTCCCCCGTCGGCTCCTCTTCCAAGGCATAGTTCAACCCTATGTCATCTGGACACAGAAACCTGTTCCCCTCGAGAATACTTGTATAGACATTTGCATCCGACTCGTTCGTATACCCATCTGCTTCTTTTTTTTTTTTTTTTTTTTTTTCGTTTTGTATAAAATTTTTATAGCTCTTTTTCATGTTCCTCGTTAGGATGAATGAACTTTCGACATTTTCCAAGCAGGTGCCGTAGATTTTATCAATATGGTATTTCCCCTTCACTTGACCACTCCCGCTTCTCTGGTCGTTCGGGAAGTCCTCATCCTGCTCTGCGCTGTTACTCGCATATTTGATCACTTTGCTGTTGGCAAGCTCGTCCCCATATTCCTCCTCTTCCTGGTGCACATGCTGCGACTGCTTCATCTGCTGCGTCCGTTTCTTGGAGATTTTTCCCTGTGCCACCCCATCGGCGGTTGCGCCTTCCTTCAGGTAGACATTTTTGTAATTCTCGACAAACTCAAAATCGTATTTGTTTTTAAATTGGCCTTTATTTGCATTTTCGTGCGACGCTGCGCCATCGACGTGGCCATCGACGCTATCACCATTACCATCATGGGCGTCCTCGAACAGATGCGACGATGACAGTTTCCTTTTCCTTTCATCAAACTCTTCAGACAGGTGACTGTACTTTCTTTTACTTAAAACACTTTTGTCCTTTAGACTTTTATCCCCCAAATAGAAATTACGCTTGAACTTTTGAAGACTTTTGTAATTTATGCTGACGTCGTCGTAGCTGGCACTGTCAGCGTAGTTGTTGTTGCCACTGTTTATATCCTTCATGATGCCGACGCTTCTGCTACTGCTGCTACTACTGCTGCTGCCCTGTTCATTTCCATTCTTGTTACACTTTAATACGTTTATTTTGTTCCAGTTTATGTTGTTCTTCAGGAAATTTTTTTCACTTTCGCTGTACGCGTTGCTGTTCAAATTTTCATCGAGATAGCGAAGTGCAATTTTGTTTTTGAAATTGGCGGTCATCCTTTACCTCGAAGTTTGGTCACTTGTGCTGTGTATATTCTATTTTATTTTTTTTTCTTGCGTATATTTATATGCTGGTACCTTAATCAGTAAGAAGGGTGGGGCCTTTTGTTACTTGTTTGCAAGATTTTCCCTCCCCTTTTATGTTCATAAAAAAAAAAGGAACAATGTTGCAAATTCTGTATGGCCCCCACGCGCACGTAACCATTATCCTTTCATCTGATGCCTCCTTTTCCAGAAAAGGGATGGCAGTTTTTTGTAGTATGATTTTTTGGGATTTTTTCCCTCACAATTTTTTTACATAAGCTACAACTTTTATTCTTCACTCAAACTGTACTTTGGCCACCTTTTCCAAACAAATTTGTATCAGTCGTATTTTTCTCGTCACACGAACTTCGCGTGGTCGACACAAATTGGGGGAAAGGGAAAAAAAAAAAAAAAAAATACACGCACTAATTATCCCGTTTCGCTCAATGGTTCCAAATTTATTTATTTTATATTTATTTTTTCTAAGGAGACGGGCATATTTTTATTCACTGGTGTGCGAAATGCAACATTCAGCAAACACGTTCGTATGCCTACTAGTCCATACATGTATTTCCTACGCATTCGAATGTGTGCTGGTTCGTGTACGCGCCCCTGCATACCATCTGGTCGAATAACGTATACGGTTTGGACCTGTGTCTTTCGCAGTGGTAATCATCATATATGTGCGTATATATGGGCCACACACAACAGCACTTGTCCAGTGATTTCTTCTCTTTTTTTTTTCAAAAAAAAAAAAAAAAAAAGAATTTTGTGTATGCTTCTCGTCTTGTGCGACAATGTGGCTGGGTTTCCCTTCTTGCGGCCATTAAGTCAACACGTTAAAAGGTATAAACCCCATTACCTGAAAAGGGGGTGGCCACACAAGGTTACAAATGGCATGCGCACATGTGCGCATATGTATATATATAATATTGACAGCTGCTATGGCGCTGAAGGAAATAATCACCTGAACCTACTGAGCCGTGAATGTCAAACAAAGGATTAAAAAAAAAGGGGGGGAAATGATTCATGTAGGTACATATGTACGGGACTACACACATGTATGAATCCGTGTCACGTCCACACGCGTTCATTGCATGCATACGCCCCCTGCACAGCAGGGAAGCAACTTCTGCAACTGAGACGAGGCAAATGCAAAGCCTATCATGCAAATCGATCGTGAGATAAAATCAACAGTGCTCACAATGGCGCGTATACGAAAATATGATGCAGTCAAACGATGAACAAATGAACAGCTTAGCAGTTCAACAAATGAAATATCGAACAATTGCTTTTACACAATGTACATGGCATTTTTGAAACACATTGCACATTTTATTGTTCCGTATGCAGGAGCATCAGTCAGATTTTTCTTTTCATTTAAACTTTTTTTTTTTCACGTAATTTTTTTTATTTAAAAAATGCTCTCTTTTCTGCGTCACCATCTTTTTTCGTCCCCCTTCTTTCGCCACCCCTTTTCGCTTCGCTGCCACAAAGGGAAGTAAATCAAATAGATAAAAAAAAAAAATAAAGTGAAATAAAAAGAAATAAAGTGAGATAAAATGAAATGAAGATGATATAAAATGAAATGAAGGTGAGATGAAGATAATGTGAAGTAAAATGAAATAAAGTTAGATAAAGTAAAATAAAGCAAAATAAAATAACGTGAAACTAACTGGTGTAAAGTTCTTGCGGTAGTTTCAATTTCACAGAAAATGAACTGTGCCACAGCGTAACAGTTTACCTCACAGGGCCACATTAAAATGGCAAAAAATATATATTTAAAAAAAATAAAAGTAAAGAAAAGAAAAAAAAAAAAAAAAAAACGAGGAAAAAATCAACCCCTAGCATTGTTCTTTCAACATAAAGTTAAACGATTTGTCGCGACATGCATGTGCAACGCGAATGTAAAAATCTACTCCATGGAATGATGCATTTTTCTCATGTGTACGTTGGTAAATGCTAACACTTTTTGAATAAACGGAAAAGGCATCTCTGCGCTGTTGACTCATCGCATTCGCAGTGAAGAAAAACAACTGACAGGGGAAATCAAAATGGGAAAATTAAAAAACAAAACAAAAAATCCTTTTAAGTGAAACATTCCTCCAATTTTAGAAAATGCTAAAAACTCCACAACTGTCGTGCGGTCGCAACGCCTCCTTTGCACATTTCACACCATCGTGCGCCACTGCGTTTGAAAACAAATTAAGGCCGATAATTTGGATACGGACGACGACGGTTTCTTAGTTAAAATGGAAAAATGGCACATCACCATGCTCTACGTTAACTGGTCCCCTTTTCCCACATGTGTCACATTCATGTGCGTACGCCATTTATGCATACACCTATGATGAGGCGACCGTATAAATGTGCATTTGCGAATGTTCGGAGGAACTGTAACTTACACCAGCCGACTGCCTGTTTACGAAGCCGCTGCGTTTTCTTCGCCTTTTTAGGTGTCATCCGTTAGGACCTAGTTCCCCTTTATAGCATCGTTTCACCACCGCTCATTTCCTGGTGGCCACTTGAACTTCCTACCCATTGTGAACTAACTTTTAATTATTGTAAAAAGGGGTAATTATCCTGACGTATAGAAAAAAGTAGCACATAACAAATGCGCACAATGTATGCCCATTTGAGGAGTATCACATGCACTCCGTACCCATATGACACATTTACAGATCAGTCAATATTGCCATGTGTGAGGGGGTTCCCAAGAAACATATTTTTGGTACCCTTTTTAAATAAAAACCTTTTGGGGGGGGGCGCCTCATTCGCTTGCAACACGTATGACGCAAGGAGATATAACCGGTTCCACTTGAAGGCCCAAAAAACCACTTCCATTTTGCCATTTGAAAAATTAATCATAATCCCAAAGCAAAACTATTATCATAACTACTGTTTGGATGAACAAAAAAAAAAAAAAAAAAAAAAAAAAAAAA